AAAACGTACGAGCTTGGTTTAACTCAGTCCCCTACGCTACCAGAAGCAAGGTGCCAATGTGACTAAGAGACTGTTATAAAACATATTTTACTGAACTCTAAAAGTGATTAAAGGTGACCATCTCTATGCTTTAACGTTTAAGGGGGAAATGAATTTTTTCCTTAGAGGACAACCGTTTCGATTGACTTCACATCGGTATCACTTGGATGAAACAACAAAGAAAGGGTCAAGAAAGCTCGCGCGGTGTCCAGCCATCTATGGATACGTCACACGAGGTCACAAATCCGCTGTATAAGCAATACTTTCATTTAACGAAGATATGACGACAGCTCTATAAATAGTTTATTTTATAATGACCTTTTTCAATGATTTTCATATCTTATCGTTAAACTTATGACATTTTCTAAGACTTGGGCAACTAAGCCAGGACCATGATTATTCCAAGGCTGGCAAATTCTGGTTTTCAGCTGTATCCGATAAAAGTAAACGCCACTACAGCTGCCAAAATTCATTAATACATGGTAACGATCTAACTACCATATAAACTCCCTGTAATGCTATCCCAGCAGAAACATACAAAACTAGTAACGTTTAAATATCTGCGGATACCACTAGGCAAAATCCTGTTGATAGGCAATTTAAGAACGAAAGACGAGGTAGAGCAGCCATTTTATGGGTTAATAAGTCATATTTATTAGGTATTTGGCTTATGCCTTTACAAAATGTACAATAAAGATATTAGACTTCATTCAACATATAGAGAAATCTTCGGAATATTGAAGTTCAAGATCTACCATCACAGCGTTGAAAAATTCGACTAAAGGTATAAATCAGTTTCGACAACCGATTATCTTATATTTCAGATCGTCATCAAGGCCTGATAACGTTTCGAGGTGTGAGCTCAGCCAAAACCACGAACACGTCCGCTTTCGGAGTAAGGAGCAAAAGTAGCGAAATCACGCCGCAAGCATACAACAGTAAAACAGTTCCAACATAAGAAACATAACGCATACGATACAAATGTAAGGGTACACCTCCTTCGGAAAATAAAACCTGTTCACATCTAATAATCTAGCATCAGGCCAGGCCCAAAGTCCTAGAATCAAAGCGAGGCATAAATATGCGATACGAAAATTCTAAACGATCCCGAATAAATTTTCCTGACATGTCGAACGCTCGAACAAACAATCACATTTTAGGCATTACATTCCAGCTGAAACTACATTATCATCCACAAGAATTTGCAAACAACCACATTAATGTCATAGCTCGCAAAAGCAACGGGATTAAGCATCGTAATAGCCGAAACCTGATATTTCTGATATATACAAAAAACGAGCGGAAAATTTTGCCAAGAAAAATTAAAATACCAATAGTGTTTAACGCAATATAAAAATACAAGCTTAAATGCTCTCACTGAATTTTCTATCCCATTTCAAACAAAAAGTTTACCTAGAAAATGAAAACACCTCGTTTGACAACCCTACACAATTCAAGCAAGATACAAGAATACTACAGTAATCCACGCGAAAGAAATGTAGGATACCGGAGATTATTATGGAAGATACCTAATGAAACATTTTGCTGCTAAACGCAAATAGCAAGAAAATATCATTGGAACAGCAGTATTTTTTTTTTGAAAAAATTTTCAAACACTTTAAAACTTATGTCGATGCCGTATCACGAATGGCTTTTAACAGCTAATGCTCGTGATTCCACACTCAGAAAGTGATTCTACACAGTGATTCTCGTGATAATCACGTATTGAAGGCCAGGATTCAGCTAATAAATATTTATTTATACCGGAGTTATTCACCTCTTTCAATTATAGAAAAAATTAGTTTATCTTTACTTCACTTTCAATCACCGCTTGAATCATTTGGTCGCTGACGCAGACACGACAAATAGTGTTTCAAACGTTCCCGATCCAGATTTTTACTAGAAGACAACCGAAGTTTAGAGCAGACTCGTTTGATACACTTGCTCCTGCACAATTTTGGCGTCCCCTGGTCGACGTGCCAAGAAATGGTTACTTCGCCTTTATTTTTGGAGGCATTCGCAACACAGACCCAAACCGTTGCATCTGTAACTTTTCAATCTGAAGAAGTAGCGTTGTAAACCAAGGTTATTGCAGATTCCTGTGTTTCGGATTATGCTGAGATGCACAAGGCCAACGACTCAACTCAGAAAGTCCATTTCATCTGCTTGTGTGCGGGATCGAAATTTTTCAGTCATAGTTCACGATTCATGACGTAGATACACATGAGGGGAAAGATCAACTTGAACACCTTTAGTTCAATCTTCTGACTCTGCTTTGCTTTTGTTACCATGATTCGGTAGAGTTCACGGAGAACGCCACTGACCATTTCAATTATCCGATCGATCTCTTCCTTCCATTTTCCATCGCCTGTAAGCACAACCTCGAAATTCTTAAACTTCTACAATTGCTTCATTGCTTGTGCGTTTATCTGAAAGGAGCAACAGGCAGTAGAACGAGAAAAGACTATGAAGTTTGTTTCAGTCATTTTCTGTACAGACTGAAATTTGGTATAAGAAGGAAAGAGCACCAGGCAGAAGAACAAGAAAGCATTCGGCTTTCATTTTACATACGTTGTATGTCAGCCTCGTCGCACCCCGCTGCGAACTTTCATCAAAGAGCGCTGTAGATCACACCAACTAAACAAGGAGGTCTGCAAACAGCAACCTCGTCTCAACATCTCCTATGGCAATACAATTGTTGCACTGCCTATGTTTGAATATTCTATCAATGTTCACAAACAGAAGAGAGAACACAACCCAGCGTTAGCAAATATCAATGGCAACTCTGGAAGGTCGCGACTTAACGCCATTTACACTGACAGCATCTGGTTTCAGCGTGTAGTTATTTGTTTGACCGTAGCAGTTGACCATCGACCTCATATGTTCAGGCATGTGCCCATCGACTGTTGCTAAGGATTCGGTCATACGCTCTTTCTAAGTCCACCAAGCACATAAAAAGCAGATTTCTCAACAATCTGACGTAAGGCGAACATTTGGTCAGAAACGCTTCCGCCGGACCGGTGGCAATGCTGCAAGTTTTGTATTTTTGAATCAGTCATTCCGCAGCACCTCCTTTGTACCACCTTTGTGTATACTTTATCAGGGAGGTTCAATAAGCAATTTCCCAATAATTGGAGTGTTGCCTGTCGTCTCGTTCTTGAACAGGGATAACATTGCCACCATTTTCCAGGCTGCTCGTGTGCTGGTGTCCTTCCCAATAATCATTGCAGTTTGATAGACACGTTTAAGCCAGCACACGTCCTCTTCGCCTAATGTTTGAAGCATTTCAGGCCGATCTGATCTATTACAGCAGACCTTCCATTTTTCAAGCTTTTCACAGCTTGTGCGATTTCATCTACAGAGACACTAATATCCGCTCCTTGCTACCCTTCAGGCGAGGTTTCCTGCCGTTGCTCAACGTTAAGGAGTTTCTCAAAATCCTCTCACAGTCGACTAAGAATGTCTTCATTCTCGATAAGAAGCTATTCAGACTTGTCAAGACTTTTTGACTGCTCTTCCTTTCATCCGTGAGGCAGCGATGGTCTGTCAGAACAAACTGCTTATAGTATGAAAACGATCTCACCACTTCATCACACTTCTTTTAGGAATCAGTTTTGGCTTTCGCTACTGCTTTTCCTGTCACCATCCTTTCTTCTACAGTGAGTTGCCCTCAAACCATTTCTTCAATGCAGCCTTCTTCTCAGTGTCAGCATCTTGTGCATTCTAAGATTCTAACATTTAGTCCACCAGCAGATGTATATATTAATATCTCTCAGTGAGAACAGTATCCAAATAACCCTGAAATTACTTGTCAATTACCCAATCATTTCACAATATTGAAATTTCTGAATATAATTTAGTTTAAAGTCAACTTTCGATGGAGGAGCAGATAGGTGAAGTACAAAGTAACTTTCTTTATATATCAAAATTTTATATGCATAACACAACAAAATTGCGCTCCTTCGTAGTTCTGCTCCAAACCACGAAGATATGTAATAATATCTTTATAATGAGAGCCATTCACAATGGGTATTTTTCTTTCTTCCATATTCATGGTATTTCTTAAACTTTACTGGATACTGGGTATAATTCATTTATTAGGGAGAAAAATGGAGTCATAAAACGCAAAATCTTGAAAATTCGTTAGTTTCACCGAAGCTTCGTATAGTGTTCAAAAGATTCTCATAATATATTACTTGATCGAGATGACCACAGTCCAATCATGTAAAATCAAAAGCGTTGCACGCTGATAAGGACTATCGATCGGCGCCTAAATATCTCGCGCCGAATTGTCTCATTTCGCGTCCGGGATCGATCTGGTCAGTTTCGCCACTTTTGCCATATTACGGATGGATTTCACATTTCGCCAATTGTTTCTGCCTTTTGTCGGTAGAACAGGATTTAATGCATATTCCAATAAAATGCGATCTGCTTCTTTAACCTTCGAAGTCGTTTTCAATAACAATGAAGGATGTGTTTGCCGATCCGCACGTTTATAAATCTTTTCTTTCTACGTTTGCATCGCATAATTGTCGCCGAAGAAACATAATGTTCATGCGGATACGTTTTTGCGCAGAAGGCAGAAAGCATCATACCTTTTGGAGTTTTATTCGTCATCTCGGCACGGCTTCATTCAGAGTGTCCTAGTGTTTCTGCTCACGAACTGGCGAAGCCCATTAGAAGAGCTGCATACGTTCTACACAGTTATGACGAGTATGTCAGCAGAAATTGTTCACTACTGAACACCAGAAATTGGATACCTATTTCATTTAAATCTTGACTCGTGAATAGCTCGAATACTGTTGTGATCAGAGGTCTCAAAGGGTTCAGACTTGAATGACTCCCGTAACAACAGTCAAGTGCAGCTTCCTGCAGCTGTTGAAGAACATTAGATTGAGGCATGGAAGCTTTTTCAGCATCTTGATATGATGTCTGTTCAAGCGATAATAATGAGATATTCATTGCCTGGAACTGAAGTAGAACATACAAGACATTCAAAGGATTCATCTAACATCGTTGTGCAGTAATTCAGAGAAACAAGGACGTTGGCCATGGGAGTGGTCGAGAACCTTGACAAGATTCTTAGGCATAAAAGAAGGCATTTCGCATCGTTAGACTGGAGTCTAAGCATGATGGACTTTCAAAGCGAATGATAACTTCCCGATCATCTGATTCAGTGGTTGGCGTTCCATATTGGGAAACTAATTAACATCGGAGGAAGACTGTAGTATTCCGCGCTTCATGCAGCCGGAATTTTTCAAATAATCGAGCAAAGGCACTATGCCATTGTCGCAATTTGCCTCAGCCTATTTTGTGATGAACTAATATTGAACCAAAGAACTTATGAAAAGATATGCTTCACTGGCAACGATCATTAGAAAGACGCCTCCGTGTACCGCAATTATCGTTCTTTGTACAAAATTTGAGGCTTTTAGTGAAACAGTTTTGTTCGAGGCATAGTTGTTGGGACAGATTGATACAGATTAATCCATTTTTACTGGTTTTATGCCATGATTTCGAAGGACTTGTTTAATTCTACATGATTAATATGTCTAGCTGATTGGTCTCTGAGATGAAGATAAAGGAACAATGCTAAGATATGGATATCGGTTGCGACAAATAAGCAGTAGCAGAAAAGGAGCGGTAAGACCTGGATTTGAGTTCAACAAGTTCATTTCTCAAAAAACACGTTACAGTGCCTAAGGACAGTCAGATGATAAGGCAAAAGTGACCCGTTCCTTTCAAGAAGAATTCCGCGAAAACCATCTCTGCTTCAATTATGCATCGATCAAATGCTCAAAGAGAAAATTGCGTTTAAAAGCCCAACGGAATTAGCGGACCGTCCATACGATACGATTTTTTCAGTCCATCAGCCTTGTCAGCCGTTGATGAAACTTCATACGCCATAACAACAAAAAATATTTTGGCGGGCGCAATTTTTCCCAAATGTCAACTGATCCAGGTGATATCCGACCAGATATACTGCAGAAAACAGAACAGGAGAATTACCAAGTGGCGGAAGTCTCATTTTACAGAGAAATAACACGCAGAAATAAATCGAAGTTTTACATAGCATGTATGTTTCAACACAGCATGCCTGGTGCAGGAGAGTGAACTAAATGCCAAGTTAAAAGTTGTAACTTACTTACTACAGGTAGAAAACAGAATTTAGAAAAGAACACTATCGACTGAATAATATGCTAAGCAAAAGTAGCGCTAGAAGAGTACCGAAGCATAACATACAGCTCTCAATCGAATCAGCGTAAAAATTAATTCATCACTCTCAGAAACGTGAGTATTGTAATATCATCTGCTGTTTTAAAAACAACTTCTTAAGGAATAACTTCAAAGTCTGAATTTTGTTATTGCCAGCGCAACGTGTGCAAAATATACGGTTAAACTGTAAACTTTGTTTTATTTATAGCTAAAATTTGATTTGATTTAAATGAAGGATGACCCAAAAATCAGCCCAAGCGTAAAATGCACAAGTATTGCCTATATACTACAATTTAAGTACATATAAATATATAGACAGAAAAATAATCATACTAGAATTTATGTACAGTACGGAATTAACGGCAACGCTGGACCTCAGTGTTCTTGTTTCACAGCTGTGAATATGAAGTTTGTACGTTTGAAAAAGAAAGAGATGTCTGAAGATAGAAAATTGCTTTCAGAGAACTTTATAGTTGAATTTCTAAGGTTTAATGTAAATTGTGACGTTTTATGATCATACTTAACGATGGCGACTGTCGCAAGTTTTAAAGTTTACCTGAAAACTGTCGGGGCTACCGGAGCTGCGTTGTAGTGTGCCCTGTGATTGTCTTCATGGTAGAATTCGAAGATGGGATGCACCCACCTCAGAAAATTTCGAAACTCCAATCCAGACATTTTGAATAGTTACTGTACGATCTGCCAGACGGTCATATATCCTTTCAGCAGTGAATCTCGATTGCAAGTGAGTTTGTTGTTTTCTGCGTTTATCGTTATTCTCTGAAGTGATCATATTCTGTCTCTAGTCATACTTTTCCTCCTGCCTCACTTGTGGCCAGAAAGACACCGCACTTCTGTGCTGTCTTGAATGCGTGTATTTGGGTTGCTGGTCGCGGAACCATTTCAGGGACCACCAAGCGGAACTTGGACACCAGTTCGGTAGACCGAAATTAACTTCACAGTTGAAGCGGTAAAAGTAGTTTTTCAAGTGCTGCTGTTTCAGGAGTTATATCGAATCATGGACAGATCTTCTGCGCTGCCTGTAACGATTTCGTCTACGAAGAGGAGTTTGAAAAACTCCGCAGTGCCATCGAAAACCGACATCGCTACAATTTGGGTAAGCACGGAACAGACAGGCTAGCGGTTCGTTGCTGATCGGTATGGGTTCAGTCTAAATGCATGATAACTGACACTGAAATTATGTCGTGTTGTTGAAACGAAAAAAGTGTCTTTCCTTTAAGTGTTGTAAGGTGACATTTTTCTTCCTGATGTAGCGTGTATACCATAGCAAGAGGATTAGCTCATCGAATGTCAGGTTTAATCATCGGAATAACCACTCTGATATGCTGCATGGCGCCGTACCGTCTCCTCTCCCTCATCATTTGCATTTACGACTTAAAGCTCATCGCCTCATCATGCTTTTCAAATATGCAGATAACATGACAATCACTAGTACATCCCTGCACTTGTCAGTTTCGCCAGATGTTCGCCCGATATGTTGCTGCGGCTTAATCTGAAAAGTGTCAAGATATGTGTGCTTTAAATAGGAATGTGGAAAATGTATTAACTCGTATGTCAGTGCGATGTTCTTTCCAAAATTGATGACGTTGAAACTTAATTTGAGTCATTCGATTTTTAAATTTGCCCTGGTTTGAACATGTAAAACTGATTGCTAAAGAACGGTTAGTGTATCTTGTTCGCTTGAGCCAAGTATGGCTACGAAGCCGGTTCTACAGCTCTGTATCCAATCGTATTTTTTTACTTTTTTACCTATACCTTCCATGTCTTGTTTTATGGACTTCTCAGAATCGTTCTTTGCACTCTGTGCCTGGCACTCAAATTGACACCACGTATTTGCATAGATTTTGAAGTTCTCATAAAAGAAATTCTACAACATTCTGAAAGCTTGCATCGGTAGTCTCTCCGACACCAAACATCCTCTTTTTCCGGCTTTGTCGTTTTGTATATCGATATATCTTAGTACGACATAAAAAATAATGCTGAACATCTACTGTCGGACGCCGACTTTGCAGTAATGAACTACCCACTGTCGCTTGCTGATAAATGGTGCATATAACTACTTTCCAGACTCTACTTAACATATGCGTTTCATTTGTTTTTGCTGTTTGTCTTTTGTACTGAAAGTCATGGCCACTTTTCGTATATGAAGACAGCAAAACACGTTACAAATAAACTTCGGTATTATGGGTTTGCTAGCAAACTGCTATTTATCAATACCTCAGGTTAGAATAAAATTCTCTTGCTACTTCTCCGAATTGACTCGGCATAGCGCATCGTCTCCTTACTCTAGTAGCCCACGGGACCGTTCATTCGTTCATGTATATTAATTCATTCATTTATTCATTCATTTTTTCTCTCCATTTTTCCTTTTCACTGCTGACTATTTCTTTGTGGTGCTTCTGGAGACTTTTCTGTCTTTTATGATCAATTGCTTATACGGTGCTTTGCAGGGACTGCATTGCAAAGCGCGATTGTGTCAGGCTCTTTATATAATTGAACCACTTGGTTCGTTGTCTGCTGTCCGACTGTGTTAGATGGTCTGCCATATCGGTCTAACGTTTCTCTAGGTCCGATTTTGAAAAAGCGGTTTTTATAGATAGTCAGATGGTAGTGTGGCGGCGTAACGCCGTATTTTTTTCACATAAATTTATAGAACAGCCGCAGTTAAATAAGACAAGGCATGGACAGGTCAGCCGGTGATCACCATTGTAAAATATCACGTAGCGAGCTGTATTTATGGATATCATGACGCTGGAAGAAGTTGTTCATTATAGACGGATCATTGGATGAGCAAACTCTGTAATTTACCATCACCGAAGTTGATACAGGGGTTGTCCATCATTCCTGTTTCGAACCGGAAGATGCCACCCTTTTCAAAGACGCGGTGGACTTCTGCCAGGAATAATTATATAGTTGTAATTTAAGATTGGTTATACATATACTTGCATTGGTGGCAGCGTATATTGATCAGGTGAGAGGTTTTAATACAAATTTTTGCCCCAAAGGTGATAAACGGTCAACGGCACAGCCATCGCAGCGGTGGCTTACCAGTACCGTCACCCCTGCTTCTTTCGCATGTCTAGATCAACCTCAGAACAGACAAGCTTTCACTCATTTTTGAGATAAAAAATACTGGAACACGGCACTTGATGAAATGATGTTCAAATCACACTTGATGGCGCTTTGCTATATTCAGCCAGTTCCTATTCGGCTTCAGGTGCTCAAATACCATGGATCCATGACCTGTTTAAATGGCTTCTCTAAGAAACTAGGAATAAGGGGGCACTGAAATGCGCCATGAAAGCTGGTCTTTGAGGATTAATTTATTATTTGACATGCTCAGGCTACGAACAGCTTATGATGTTTATGCGGTGACATAACGGAGTATGTGCTCCTAAATTATCGTTCACGATGAATGGCTCTAACGGACAAAATGGTGCGAGATGCTTCTGGCTTGCCAGTACTCAAATATGTTGAAGCTGTGGCTTGTTTAAAGGGCCTCCTAGGCAACTATGATCAAAAGGCCGTGTGGTACGCCGTGAAATCTGGTCTTGGAGGAGTAATCCGTTATTTGGTTGTTTTTAGTGTAAAATTTAGCGTTTACCTCCTCGCTGCTCTCACTTTTTGCCGTCATTAGGACTAAGCCATACGATACAGTGGTTTCCGTCCAGCTACGAAGTCAAAGAAGTGAAGTCCAAGTCGCGATCGGTGTTCCTGCTGAGGAGTGGCACGACGCTAGGTTTGCGTGGCTTGGTGAACCTCAGCAGCACGTGCTTCATGAACTGCATCGTGCAGGCGCTGACACACACGCCGCTGTTGCGCGACTACTTCCTGTCCGACCAGCACCGGCCGTGCCGACGCTCGAAGTGTCTGATGTGTCAAATGAACCGCTTGTTTCAGGAGGTGAGCCTGCGCTTCGAGTTGTAATCGTTTTATTTTTCTTTGCTAAAATTCTTAGTATATACTTCGCACCGTTCAAAGTAGGGTATGCCTTTTATGCGTGGCACGCTGCTGCGAGCTTAATTTCTGGTAGGCTGGCGGGAAAAGGATATCTTAATCTGACCTTCAAAAACACCAACGGGTAAATTCGGGCAATCCATTATTGATTAGTGTAATCTGTTGTTCACTGACAACGCGTTAATGACCATTCAGACAAATTTAAAATACTCTTTGCTTGTCGTAAATCTGTTGTAATAAATTGCGAAGTTTCTGTTGTCGTACTTTATAATTAGGCATAAAATTACAGTTGGGAGATTCTGAAGTTAGTTTATTGTAGGTAGGGATTTTACTATCGGCTGTATCAAACAGTATTCAGAAAATTGATTTGATCAGTTATGGCTTCAGAATCGAAATCTTCTTTCGACAAAGTCTAGTGTTGCTGCTCATTTAATAATGTAATTTAATTTAATTAGAAATATAGTTTCCGTGCACAGCTGTGAGATGTAATTTATCCGCCCGTTTTAAAATACAATGGCTTTTAGGGGAAAAACGTTTGTAATTGGGACATAAAAACCATCTTCAACGAAATTCACAGAATACCATTAGCATTATTTCAAAATTCAGTAGAGCACATGATAATGTACAAAAATTAAAAACAACAATGGCTCTAGCCTACTAATGAAAATGTACAACTGAAATGCAAATCTGAATGAAGTCATTTTGAAATGGCAAAGTGCATAATCCATGACAACCTTAAAGCTTTATGGTTCCATTTTGCAGTACTTCGGTTTTTCATTTTAGCATACACGTCAGATCTTGATTTGTAAACTTTACTAAATTTGGGCATTTACGCCGAAAAAAGGTGGTGAAGAAAGGTTATAGGCAAACTCACTTGTACTTCAATCCTTAGCCCACTGGAACCGTTTAAAAAAGTTAAATTCAACGTTAATAGACTTTTTCACATCATTATGATCAGCAGAGTTATTTCGATTTAGATTCCTAAATTTTGGAAGACACGCATCACATGTTGAGAAACGTACGTTTGCTACTGAAAGATTTGCATTTTAAAAATCTTGAAAGTTGTTTAGGGGATACCTTCAAACATCTGCTTTCAATGCAACAAAATTTCTATCACCAATCATTGGGTTGTTAATAGATTTTTTATCAGCGTGTAAATTTATTTTTGTGACTAATGTAAATCTCTGCTCTCTCGACATGGAACCTTCTTTCTATTGCAAGTATATTTATAATATATTTTACTTCTCAAAGCAGAGCAGTCTTATTCTGCCCTTTTTAATTTCCTAAATGGCTTTGAGGATGAGAAGAGGACAGAATTCACAGTCGAACAAAGAAATAACACCATTTCTTTGCTTTACGTTAGATCAAGAAAGATTTTATGAATAATTTTGTCGTTTTCTGTTTTCCGCAAGGAACAGACCTATTGTGGCTTCAAACATTCAAAGTTCTGGGTTCCCTGATCATATTTTATTACGTTTCATCAAATTGCAATGCAGAGCGACGTATATTGCAGCCTTCGATCGACATATAGCGCCGAAATCCAAAATCCGTCATTCATCCTTAAAAATTGCTAATGAATATGAACGCAGTTTGCTCCAGCATAATATATTTGATCAAAATTATAACTGCTGACCATCGATCTCAATATGACCAAAACAATATCTGTACCTTTTGAATTGCATTTGTTAACACTCTTTTATCATTGTCAAACTAAGGTATGAGCCAGTGTGATCAAGAATGATCACCCGACGCAGCATCTTCTATGGAGAGTACGTTGCAACAAACCACCTGTAAAAAATTGGACTGTTTACCAAATGAATTGTAAAGGTAGTCGAAGGATTCATATCAGTATGGCAGAAAGGTGTTAAACGCCGTCTTCAAAAATATATGACAGTTTTTGAGCATGGATATGAGGAACGTTCTCTGCCATTGCCGAGCATGCTGCTGATAACCTATACGATGATGACAGCAAAGACGTAATAGTCTCTAACCGCAGTTGCATTATCGCCGATGTCAGTCTCACTGTCTGCGACACAGTTGCGGTGACGGATCGCTTGATCTTTTCAAGCTACGGTGTTCCATGGGTTTGATAGAAATTCAATGACCGCAAGAGTTTCTACGTTGATTGGCCATGTTGGCATTCGACCAGACGTTTAGTTGCCACTTGTTTTTTTCTAGTTCTACTGTGGTGCCAAAACACCGTACATTCCGTTCCAGTTGCTTTATTTGGTGTGGAATCACGCGCCGAATCTTGCCGGCTACAAACAGCAGGATGCTCACGAATTCTTCATCGCCATCCTGGACGTTATGCATCGGCACTCGAAAGGTGGCTAGGGGGGACGGTTGGCAGCACCAACTCGAATGAAGCCAGTCTAATTTTGTGTACGTTTCTGTTTTCAGTTGCGACCAAGCAGGACGCCTCTTGTTCGTGTATCGTCGATCAAATCTTCGCCGGCGTTTTGCAGTCAGACCTGAAATGCCGCGACTGCGGAGGCGTTTCCACCACCTTCGAACCGTATTACGACATCTCCTTGGACCTCGGCAGCGACTTTTTTGCTGACAAAAGTAAGACAGTAAATTTTTTTTAGCTTGAAGAAACTTTTTATAGTTAATTTAATAAATATTAATTGTTTAATTTTATTTATGAGCTTGATACTGCTGTTGTTTATCATCTTCATCTGTAATGCGCTCCATTTAATGACGTCCAACACACTTGAGGTGATTCCTCGGAATACTGTAAGCGTTAACTACTGTGCAAGTTGTCGTAGCGACTTTCAATAAAACATGACAAATTTATGTACAGACTTTTAACCTTGAGAAACCAGCATTTGACATCAGGTTAAATTGTACCCTACATTTGCTCTGTTTTCAATTTTAATGGTGAATAACTTGTTGAACAATAGTTTATGAGAAGTTTAACTCTGCTTATTCCTTAACCTTTGCCTACACGGGTAGAGAATAACTTTTAGTCTTCGAACGGTAAATCATGTTCAAAGTTAATTGGATTGACGGCATACTTGCAACCGTTAAGGCATGTTATATTCATACTTTTATATTATATACGCCGTAAAAATACGGATAAATTACAGGAGATTGTTATTCCGGCGGTTTGCTAGTAAACCCTTGATACCGCGATTAATTTTTATTCTGTATACTTACGG